AACACTTTTTTTTCTCCCACCCCCTCAAGCAATTGCCACGTCTTTTTTCACTCTCATAAATGGCAAATGTGGCATGATGGTTTAAAAATTTGTTCGCTTTGTAATAATACTTTTTACACACACACACATAACTATAAACTTTTTTAATCTATGATAATCATATCAACAAATAAATTCATACACCAAAATAAAAATTAACGTGTTACTATATTGGGAGCTAAAAATCCAAAAATAATTAAAATAATCACAATTGAATTGAGTTAGTGCTGATATCAATAGCTTCTCTTAATTGATTAATAAGTATAAAATAACAGCATGGGCTTTTGAATAAGCTAATCTAGAATTGAGTTCAACATTGATTTTTTCCATATTTCGAAAAAAATAAACATTGTAATAATTTTATGACATAGCCAAAGAAGGTCATCAGGGAACGCTTCAAATGATTATGTCTTCTTATCAATCCGTTTGGGGGAATACATTTGTCAATAAAATAATACTTCATGTGTAAACGAATTTTGACATCAATTTCAGCAAATATTATGTATTCATATTTATATACTCAAGTGATTTGCTTGTTATCAACAACACAATAATTGTTCCTTCTTTTTTTTACTGTTGTTTCTTATCAAAAACTTCTCGTACAATTTAAACATACACTGTAGACTTTAGAGTTTTACTTTTGATATTGTGAGAAAAAGAGTACATCTAATTGTAAATAGACATTAAATATAAATAAGAATTCTAATAGTCTATGATTTTGTGCCTTAAGGATAGCTGTCGCCAGTTCAAAAAAATCAACTTTCTGTTGATTATGCGAATCTTATGTACATGTTATAATATGTCGGGGTTAAAGAGTAAACAGAAGATGATAGACGAGAAAATGTCAACAATTCTATGTCTGATGTGTCGATTTGTCTATCGCGTGAATGTAAATGTAACATGTGAGAGGGATTCAAAAAAGGCAAATAATGATTTTATTACTAAATTATGTTCAATTCAGAGCATTCATATTATGAAGATGATTTTTTTTTTTGTGTGAATGTGATTACAAGTTTTCATTCCTACTGCCATTTACGATTTCTTTAAATCACTTCAGAAGACGATATAGAGGAATTTTTTTTAAGAAAATTGATTTTGCTTTTCGATAGCACACGTGCCATTCATTCAAGACTTGATAATTAAACACGGTAGGTTTACGAAAATGACGTCAGAGATTTTTAATGGAGATTGTGATTATTAAAATTTAATCTTAAACGCTTTGACCACTATTTGTCATTTTTAAACCGAAAAAAATTTGATATAAGCCACAAAATCTAATAATTTTATCTGAAAATTTGTGATATTTTAAATGCCACGATTATTTAATGTACACAGAGTTATAAAACTATCTCAAATTACGTAATGGATACAAAAAATTGAGCGATTTCTTCTCTCGTCTTGTTTTGGCATCAAAAAATTAAAATAATATTTACTCTGACCATGCATATCATCATCATCATCGGTGTTGTCATGTATTCTTTAAATTTAATTTTTTTCTGAATTTTTTGCTCACCCCACAAGTCGAGGAATTTTTGAGAACTGCGACGTGTTTTAAGAACGATTTACAAATTTTCCCAAAACGATGATGATTCACGCGTGTCAGATGATTCTTTAAGCATATATAAGAATTAATGAAGATATTTTTTTTACCTAGCAAAATGACTTGTTGAATTATTGAAGAATAAATGATAAACGATGTGCGGTCCTCGATTATGTACACAAATAAATTTCGTACGTGGAGCACGCTGAATAAAATTTTGAAAAAGTGTGATTTTACTAAATAAACAATTCTGACACTGCTAACTTAGTTGTTGCTGAGATTAAGCACATGCGAAATTCAAACAAATAGCACCCACAGCAAGGTATCTTCTCTTTTTTTCTTCTTCTTGCGTTTTTCTTTTGAATATTTTTTTTTTTATTATAATTTTGCACAAAAATGATTTTTTTTTCTTCTCGCAAATTATTTTTAAGTGCGAAAAATCTTCGACTCGTTTTTATTGTAGTCGAAATAAAAGTCTATAAGAAAAAAGAATAAAAAATCACACCACAAAACTGATGGAGCGCTAACACTGAATTGTCGCGAAACGACGAACAAAAAACTCGCAAAACGGTAGAAGTGAAAATAAATAGAAGGAATGAATATAAAAGTTGTATAAATTGATGCCATCAATGTATAGTTATGAGTGTGTGTATGAAAAGAATTTGTGATAATTTTTTTCGTGTCTTTTCATTTTTATTATTTCTTCTTTTTTTTCTGTTACAGATAAGATGTTTGTAGATTTCATGTATTCCTATCGACTGAGTTCATTTGTTGAAAAAAAAAAAATTATTTTGACTCGGTTATAACTTATAAGTAAAGCTAGATTTTGTCGTCACACGTTGTTGCTATTGTTGTATATAAGAAACATGTGTATTTATAGAAAAAAATTGATAACACAGAAAAAAAAATATTTGTACATAAAACGCGCAAAGTATATATACTTCATATCAATTAAGTAAATGTTCTTCGTCACAGAAAATTGTTGTTGTTGCTGCAGCTATTTTCACTCTCTCACATTTATTTATGAATCAGCAGCAACAAGCGAATAATAATAAAAAAATATGAGCACTTACATATTCACATTGATAGATAAGCACACACGTATTTTAACGTTTCCGATAAGAATGCTCGCATTCGACTGCCTAACAAAAATTGTTAAAGAAGCGGCTGTATCAATCACTCATTTATATTTATCTACAATTCACTTTATTTTTCTACGAATTGAAACAGATATTTTAAAATTTTATTATGCCTGACTGTCTACTCGTGAAAAAGTATTGAGTTCTCATTAAAAACTATTAAATTTTTTTAATAAAGATTTACACGTGTTAAAGGAGAATCCTTATCAATTACATGTGTCATGGTCAAATATAGTAGGTACGCTTTTCTTCTATGTTATAAAGTTGAAGGATCAGTTTTATAGATTAGTTTCAAGAATTTAGTAAAGCTGCTCAAAATGCGCTACTAGACCTAATAAAAGCTTTCCGAAACATTTTCTTCCAATTTTTTGTGTTTGTGTATATGAACATCTCAAATATACATTCGGAACATTATTAATTTTTTTCGTTTAAAAGCTGATAAAAATGAATATTTTCGTATCAATGTGTATACATGTGCCATAACAAAATTTACGTCTCATTTTTTTTCTTCAGCGATGAATGACTAAACGATAAAAGAAGAAAAGGCGCCATTATCATGACCAATTTCATACTCCTTCCCTGAATTTCGCGTGATTGCAAATCTAATCAAGTTTTTCTGTCGAATGATACATGACGTCCATAAATTAACATGTAAGAGAAGAAATAATAACAGTATCTTATCAGTAGTATCAGATGACAATATCTGAAATATCGAGTCAGCGAGCTTTACTGCGATTAATTGAATAGAACTAAATTAACAGCTTTTTTTTCTGTATGTGTTGTGTGTGAATAAGCCATTATCGCAATATGGGGTATGACTCAATTTAGGAAATTAAATGCTCGACAACAAATAAGAATGGAATTGCAATAATAATATTATCAGTGTAAGCTTTAGAACAATATCTTTGTCTGATTAATGCAAGTACGTGTATATCATGTGTGTATTGGATATAAATAGCAACAGACAATTGGACGCGTTGGAATTTCCAATATAGCATGATCTACAAACTACGTGAGCTGTAGAGATTCTTAATAATGTCCTTGAGAGTTAACAAATGTATGAAATTTTTCACTGCTCAATCTTTCTGCGAAATGAACAAGAAGAAGAATATATCATGCCAGCCATACCGCAATGATTTGTTTACCGATGAAATCATCATCATCATCATCACACGAAGTTCGTTTAAATTTCTTACGACGATTAATAGCTTCTTCATTTTCAAGTTGTTGGCAAAATTTCCACATTTTTTCCTCTCCTGTTCTTGTTTTTTTTTTGCTCATCGATGAAATAAAATTTGCTTAATAAATTATTTACAACATTTAAAGAACAAAAATTGTAAAACAATGAAAGAGATGCAAGAAAAAGAGAGATATTAAGTAATTTAATACAATTCAGCAACATTCTAAACTCGTGATATGAATAATTTTGTTGTGGATATTTTTTGGAATCATTTTATTGAATAAACAATTAAGGTGACATGAACTACATCTGTCTGCTGCACTAGAAAATTTATTGTGTAAATTCAATTTTGTGTGAATCAAATGATGATCAAGTAAATCTCATTTGAACTAGATTATTCTTGAATCCGTAAAATCCCTGATTTAAAATTCATAAAAAGATTTGCCAAGAAAAAATTAATAAAACAAATATTTTTGTTTCTTTTTCTTCTTCCAAGACTTAAAATGCATACAGCAAGTGAGAAATGATTTTTCAATGGCATATTCTATAACTATACATTTTCCCTTCAGTGATGAAGGTATTTTAAATTTTCGTTCACAGACTTAAAGATTTTCATTTCATAATTCAAGTTGAATACTTGCTATTAATTCAATAACAACGTCTAACTTCAAAGAAAATTAATTAATTTTTTAATCTATTCAAAAGTATGGCAGTCAAACTGCTCTAATGACGAAATTTCTCTTATTTTCAACTGTTCAAAATAATTGACATCGGAAAGCATCTGTAGAGTGATTTAAAATATCATTGAAAACTCAAAGTTCGTTTGAGTTTAATCAGCTTAAAGCCACGGAAAATGAAACGCACATGAACAAAAATGTAGCTTACTGATAAACTTTTGAACGTTCCAAACTTCTTCTTTTTATTTTTGTTCATTACTTCTTCCCACTCGTTGTAATTTAAAAATTTTCAAAATGCCTCTTATCATATTGAAGAAATGAATAAATGTACGCAAAAAAATTTACTTTATAGTTTCGACGATATGCGAGCTGTATTTCATATGGTAAAAGAGTTTAACTCAGACATTTGTACGTCATTTCATTACCTTTTATTATTGAATCGTTGGTCATCTTTGAGGCAGCTGTCGTTGATATATTTGTGGTCGTTTTCTTGACATTTGTTTCTGCAATGAAAAAGAAAGAAATAATAGAACGGAAATTAGTGAAATTCCTTTACGAGATTTGAGAAAAAAATAACATCTTCAAGATGAAAATTTTCACGATAAATGAATTAAAATTTTATTCGAATTAGTCATTTATTAATAAACCTCCATACACATACATACATACATACGTAGATTTCGGATCGTTCATAAATTACGTCAATCAATTAAAAAAAATTTCTGACACCTCTCAATAGATCCCTTCCTTCAAATATATGTAGGACGTCTTAAGTGAATGACCCCAATAAGTAAACAGTTTTGATTGAAACCATGAAAACTAAAGAGCTATAAAAATTTTCCGCACAATTTATAAAGAAGAAAAAAAAGTTTCTTTCAATACAAGCTGTAAATTTAGTTTTAAATATCAGTATCGTTTGATGTAAATGTGAAAGAATGCGATGAAAATTGAATAACACGTGGAAGGCATTTTATTTACAGCTGTAGAGGGTTTCCCGCCGTTCAAGTCGCTCTAATATAAATAATTTCATGCTCATTCCATCATACATCAACAAAAAATTTTAATCATAAACGAGTGAATTTTTCTTTTCTTGATTCTATTTTTAACATTTTTGGTTTATAAACAAAAAATTTTCTTTTTTTTGAGAAACTGCGCGCTGAATTTTCCGATCTTCTTTTTCTTTTTCATCATTTTTCCTTTTATTTGTGTATTTGAGGGATTTTCTTGGAAGAAGATGAGATGAAAATAAAGAGAAAAATTGCTATAAGTAGAAAGTAAATTGTCTCAAGTGTGAAATGGCATTATCGTTAAAGTTGAAACAGAAAAATAAATCAAAACTCGACTGAATTGAGTCGCAGAATGATACCTGAATTAAATTATTTATTTTTATAAAGAATTTATTAAAGGAAAAACATTTTAGTCTGCGAAAGTTTTCAATAACTACAAATTAAGAATCAAAAGTTGTTTCAATAATGTTTATTGAACTTTTACAGACATCACATGTGAGGATAAAAAGAGTCTCTTATTAGTAGGGTTACCATCTAATTTTCTTGAAAATACAGGACTTTTGGCAAATTTTTTCGAAAAATACAGGACATAGAGTAAAATTCGAAAATTAACGGAAATTTTCGTGAAAAAAATACAGGACCTGGAACAAAGTTTTCAAATTTATACAGGACAGGGTTTTGAAATACAGCACTGTCCGTTGTAAAACTACGCAGATGGTCACCCTACTTATTACCAAATGATTTTCAATCTGTACTTCCGAACTAAAGTCAACATCATTTAGTGCGCCTTAATAACTCGTTCGTGCAAATCCTTACAACAAAAGCACTATGAAAGTTAAAGAAAACTTTTTTAAAAGACACAAACTATGAAGCACAAACATTTACAGATATAATAAAAGTTCTTCAATACTTCCATGCTTCATTTCACAATTTTCAATTTTTATCTTCCTTTCGACAGTTGAAAGCAATAAAGTTGCAAAATAAAGCACACAAAATGTGAACGTGATAAGGAAACAGAAGTTTTGATTCTGCAGATGCTCATGACAGACATATAGCAATGTCATTCCATTCCAAATTTGTCTATTTGCAATTGTAGAGAACATTATTTTCTTCTTCTTCTTAAACTTGACTCAAGAGAAATTCCTTCAGAGAGTGAAAGAGCAATGTGTGCAGACGTAATGTAGATTTTATTTTATTTTAAACATTTCTTTCTTGAAAAAGTCTTAAAAATAGATTTTCTGTTCATAGCGTCGTTTATACAATTTAAATATATACACATATTTACTTTGGGATAGCCCCAAGTTGTCGGCATCTCTTCATAGAAATGAAACACTTTTTGCTACTGCTAGTTTCTCTTTTAATTCTACTTATTCATTTTTTTTCCTTTTCAATTTTTTTAAGTATTTGATATAAATGAGATACTCGTTGGGATTTACTAGCATGAATGTATATTTATTTTGCAGTAAATTCATCCACAAGATTCTCTTCTTATTTAACGATAAAGAAATTTTTGCTCTTTTTCTTACGTCCTCATGCAAAAGAATGTCTCTTCATTAAAAATAGACGCACAAATGAAAGAAGAAAGCTCAGAAAAACAGAAAGATTGTCATTTAGAAGAAGAAAATGAAGGTGGGAATTTTAATTGGTAGGCGAGCAAGTTAGCTGTATGGGAAAATCTTATGACACATTGCTAAACTTTTATTCATTCTTGCTTACGCAAAATCTCATTTTTTTTCTTTTGTTACTCGTGCAAAGGGACTTAAAGAATCTCGAAACGCCATCAGATTTTGCATTTTATGGCATAATACTGCAGAGATATAGAAAATGAACAAAATAATGCCAGTAAAAAGGGATCATCTTGCTTTTCTTACTTTTTTATGACAATCATCTTTCTAAGGATATCAGAGTGGAGCCTAAACTGTAGAGAAAAAGAACTGCCTGCATGATAACAAGGAAAAGAACAATAGAAAAGTCAAGTGTAGAAATTTATTGTCTTAAGGATTCCCGGAGAATTTTTCTCGTTCTAGAAATAATAATAATAATAAAAAAAAGTAAAAATTACCACTATGGATTTTATTATATGCTGTTTATCTTACAACACCAAATACACTTTGCATTGAAAAGTGCCAGGGATCAAGTGCATATCCTTTCTCTTTTTCTCCGGGATTTTCTACCTACTTATATAAGTAGTCCTTTTTTGTTCTCCTTTTCTTTCTGCCTGTCCTTCGTAATACACTTAACATGACAAAAGGAATGACTAGAATGAGAGAAATAGACAAGTTCTATGGACCGAATCAAAATATTTCTGGGAATTACCCTGGAGACAAGTTATGAAGTGGTATACAAAGTTGCTACACAATAAAAGACGAGAAGAACGTTTTACATTTGTGTGCGCCTCTAAATTTAGACGTATCAACAGAATATGGAAAACGAGTATCAAGAAGAATTAAAAAGATGAGAAGAAAACAGAAGAATGTGTGAATTGCGTCATTTTCATTTACAAGTAAATATTGTTATCACATATTATGTGCTTTTTTGTTAAAGATCATCAAAAGTTTTGTTAAACGAGTAGCATTATGTAAACGAGAAGGCTTTTCTGGAATGTAATTATTATTATTTTTCCTTCCTGCTTATTTCAATATGCTTACATGTGTGAACGAATGTGAAACAACATGTGTGTCAGATTAATTGCCAGAATGTACTGAGAAAAAAGACTCAATGTCACAATGTGAACATGGAAAAAGAAGAAAATTGATGAGAATAGTCATGGGGAACGAAAATAACGATTTAACGCACATAAAACTTTACTTTCACTTAATTTTGCTTTTTACAAAATATTTAATGCAAACTGCGCCATTCCCATAGTCGTCCATTTAATTACAATGTCAAATGAAATAGCGATAATGAATTAAGCAGCAACTAAGCGATGAACGTGTCGCTCTTGAACCCAAAAGAAACATTTCATCCCCTTTTATTATTTTCATTCCGTCTTCCTCTCGCTTATTCTCTTATTTTCCTGCATTTTTCCTTCAAACAAGCATATCCCACCCACAAAAGTATTTTCCATCCCTCGCTTCTCTTACTCATCATCGTTTGCAATCACCGACATTCAGAACGGAAAACGAGGGATGAGGATGAAAGAAAAGAATCGTTCATGTCAGTGAAAGTTTTCTATTCCTTCAATACTTTGTAAACAACCTGAAAAAATTTTCATCGCTGTTGATATTAAGAACGATTTACCTCTCATATCCTCTCTTACCGGGAAATTTAATTTCTTTTCCTATTTCTTTCATAGCATTCAAGAATTGTTGATGCCATTTTTCACTGTCGATTATACTCATGCGTGTGTATATTCTACAGGGAAAACTCATACCAAATATTCAGATTGACTGAGATATACTTTAATAGATTATGGTTGATAAACATTTTCCATATTTTCTCAGAATCTCTCTTCATTCCAAAATGATGACGACAGTTTTGGCAACAACTTTTTCATACGTGTTTTCTCTATTAGATTTTGTCGAAATAGAAATTTATAAAAAATAGTAAGGGATTTGATGTACATGCGTTGAAATCAAATAGAAAAGCATTGAAGTGGAAATTATGTTTACTTCCATTAAAGAACCTGTATATAGTATCCCTAATATTATGTGTATTTAAACATTGCCTATATCATGGGTTCATACCCATAATTCTTGAATGAAGAGTCGAGTGCGAGATATGGAAAATGAGGAATGAAATCCAAAGGGAAGCAAATTGGAAAACTCGAATACGTCATCTACAGTGATAAATAAAAGATTTCTTGCTTCCTATCACTATTAGAACACGAAAAAATTTCCATTTCACTGTTTTTATATTTCTTGATGTTAATGCACCCCATCCAATATCAATCTTCATGTTATTTTTTTATTCTTTTATATAGAAAGAGTATTATCTGATGATTCCTCACAGCCTAAACCAATTTTACAATCGAATGGAAGGCAAGAAATAACGCAAAAGAGAAATGTTTGAAAAAGACGAAGATGATCATAAAGCATTTCATTTCGTTTCTCATTCTTTTGCCTTTTCTTCTTTTTGTACCGAGGAATTCCGTCTAGAACGTATTTGCCATGCACATACGTATTAACGAACATGAAAAGATTCACATATAAGCCTGCTGTGTCTTGTTAAAGAAGAAAATGTGATATATACTCTACTTGCTTGCCTGCCTGCTTCGGATACAATATAGAAAATGAGAAATAAAAGAAATAAAGTGTGTAATAATGTGTATATGCTTTTGAGTGCCGTAAATCGAAATATTACAATGCGTTTGGATATTGCTTTCTTGTTCTATTCCTATTTCTCTCACTCTGTCTCTCAGTTTTGGTTTTGTTTGAGATGAAGAAGAAGAAAAAAGCAAAATACAATAAATGAGTTCAGGTTCATGGTTGATGTGTTTGAAGAGAAAAAAGGGACATGAAGACCATAAAAAAGGGATTTTCCTCTGCTATTGCTAT